GGCCAGGAGGCTTCCAGAGGGAGGCAGGCTTTGCCAATGCTTCCAGAAAGGGAAAAGGAGCTGGGGGAATCGTGTGGGCTGGGCTTTGGCAGATGATGCAGGAGAGGAGAGGCCAGGCCGGGCGGCCCAGCTTTGAGGTCAAGCCACCTTCTCTTTGCGGGAGAGAATCCTCTTTCCCGCCTGCCCAAACAGGCTGTGGCTCCCCACCAGCTAGGGGCGGGGAGGGGCCCAGGCCTGGCCTTGTGGCAAACAGGGCATGGGGAGCCCTCGCAGCGGGGGCAGGCTGGGGCGGAGCAAGGCGCCAGCTCCCCGTGGGCAGCAATAATTAGTCCCGAAGCCCGCTGCCAGCGCCTCAGCTGTTCCTCCAGCGTGTGCCCTGTACGCACAGGAAGGAGCCGCAACTCGCCTTTATAATCAAAACCATGAGTTTAAAAGCCCATCATCTGGTCTGTGTTTCTTCCTTGGCCGACATGTGGCTCCCTCGCTTTGGGGGCAGCGAGGGCGCTGTTTGCGCGCCCCCTCTGCCTTGGTGACACCCCAGCGAGGGCCCTGGAGCTGTGGACTCCTGGCAGGCCGGTGGGCCTAGCTGCCATGCTGTCCCGTCACGGGGACTGAATCGAGTGACAAATGGCGTGCTCTCAGCCTGGACGGCTTGCCCACTACCCTGCCTCTTCCAAGATGAAATGCCCGGAACCTTGACTAAACCTTCCTGGTCCTGGTCCGGCGCTCCTGCGCAGTGTGAGGTGGCCTGGTGGCCTGTTCAGTAAAGTCTAATGAGGCTGTGGAGGCCCTAGGGAAATAGATCTCTAAGGAGATCAAGAGGAGGGAGTCAGAGGTATGAAAACCCACATTAGATGTACAATTAGAAATTTACTGCAGGAAAGGGGGGCCAGAAGCTTCGCCAAGATGATGAAGCTTCAGGAAGGTGTTAAATTATGGAAAGGACTCAGAGCTAAACCACCTTGCCCTAACTTTGCGGCTCTGCCCAGTTGTTCTAGTTCCTGTGTTTTTCCCCCAGAAGTAGTAAAGTTGTAGATACAATGGCTACTGTATATGAGAGTCTTTCTGTCTCACAGGTAGTATTTGAGACTCCTCAGCTCTCTGTAATTGTGTTCTCCAGAGGCTCGGGTGTTTGCACTAGAACACATCTTCGCTTTATCATGAGGTGTGATGTGAAGAGGGTCATGCCACCAAAACTTTATTTTACACCACAAATTAGGTTCAGTTCATCCACCCAGGCCGGTTAGGGGTTTCCACAAGGGGTGTGCAGGGAGGTGGCCTTTGGTGCTGGGGTTGTTGCTCTGGGGCTTGGTTTCCTGTGAGGGGTGCAGGGGCAGGGACACGCTGGCAATGAGAACGCCTTCTAGGCCCCAGCATAAGCATGGGCAGGTGAGCCCTCGGCCTTCGCCGTGAGATGTCTTTCTTTGTCAGAGGTGGGCCTCGTGACGTCTCCTCAGGACCCAGGTGAAGGAGCTTGCGGGATGAAGGGGGCTCCTTGGAAAGGAGGGAGCATCCTTCACCAGGATGGAATAATACTCCAGAAAGGAAGCCGAGCCAATTACAGGAAATGGTGGTGCACGGAAAGGGGATGTCTAAGCGCTGTCCCCTCAGCTGCATGACCCTGGAAGCCCTGAACTGGGGTACTGGTAAAAGGCCAGATTGGGGAGAACCCTCCATGAGTGTGCAAGTTTCTAAGAAATTTGCATTTGAAGGAATGTGGGAACGGCGTCTTGGCGATTCCTGACTGCACACTGAGGGGCCCTTCTGGGGCCAGAAGAAACTTAAAATTTCATCCTAGCTGCACCTGACAGCCTTACTGACTCTGCTGTTGAGGATTTACTGTGTGCCAGGGATGATTCTAGAAGTGGGTGATACAGCAGAGAACAAGAATAGACCAAAGGAAGTCTGTTCTTGAAACAGTGTGTATCGGGCCTCCCTGGTGGCCCAAGGGGGTTAAGCACAGCACTATGAAGCCCCCAGCCAGGGAGTGACCCACAGGGCGCGGCACAGCAGGCCTCTCCTGTCTCCCGCTGCTCCCCTCAGCAGTGTGTTTCAGTCCATCTGCCGGTTCTGCTCCCCACTCTGCCTCTGGTGAGTCCTCTCACTGTCTTGCACCTCTGGCCTGTACCCCAGTTCTTGTGTGCATAAATAAATAAACCTTTAGAAAAGAAAAAAGGGCATATATTTTAGGGGGAAAGAGGAGCGGTAAAGAAGTAACTAGATCAGTGCTGGGTCATGGCTTCCACAATAACAAGCACCCCACCCAGGGAGGGCCTGGGCATGCCAGGGCTGCCATTTTCGACTAGCGAGGAAGGTCCCCTGAGAGGGGCAGGGGGCGTTTGAGCAGAGTTCTCTGTCAGGCTTACCTCAGACTCCCATGTCCTTGCTTCCGGTCAGCCCTCTCCTTTGGCACGGTGCTCCCAGGTGCCTGCTGGCCCACTGTGGGCTGCTTAGCACGGGAACCCAGCGGCCCCTCTCCTGCCCACCCTCTCCGTACTTTGGCTCCCATGTTGGCTTGCAGCACACCATCTCCTCACTCACCCAAGCTACAAGCAACCGTACTCCCCTCACAGCTGCCTCCTCCATCTCCAGGCATAAACACTGGGCAGGTGGGCCTGCTTCCTGGTCCCCACTTCCTCCTCATACAGTACTTCTAGCCTCGTCGGCCTTGCGTAGACTGTCTCACCGCCGCCGCTGGCCCCACAGTGCCCCTTTCTGCCCTGCACTGCCCACCATGGGTGCTCACCAACCTGGGTGGAATTCTCCAGAAGATTTACAAACAGCTGAGATGAACCCTGTGAAACTACTCTCCCTAGTATCAGTCATTTTGTATACTCAATGAATACATCGGTTTTGTGTCAATAGTTCTTATTCCTGTCTTGACTGTAAGGCTGTCTTGCCTTCCGCCCGGGGGACTGACGCAAGAGCCTCAGAGAATTATGTTCGACTCTGGGTGCCATTTCCTATCTTTCTCTACAGACTGATTTGCAGTCCAAAATTACGGACACACGGACACACGCCTCAGATGTTACAAGATTGTACAGTTTTCTTTTTTGCTGTGGGCAGATTTTTTCTGCCCTGACTTTTTCTCACTCAAATGGTTTATTGTCACCAGTGGTGAGGTTTTTGAGGCTGACCAAGGTGGTAACTTCTAGAATTATCATGCATTATCAGCCAAATGAAAAGAACACAAAGTTACGATGCAGACACAAGGATGGATTGTCCCATCGCAAGTAGTTTTCGGGGTGAAATTAGATCACAGTATCAGCTGGAGAATTTGTGACTGTTTTGTCTGATAGTTTCAATGTCAGATGCAGAGCTGGCCCTGTCCTTGAGCTGAGAACCTTCCACACCCTGCCCTCCCATTTCCACCCACATTTAAAAATAATATTCTTAAGTAAAAGACAAAAAAGTATTTTATCCCACCACTTCTATAATTGAGTGGCTTTGCAAGACACTTTTTCTAAAAAAATTATTTTTGCATGCAGAACTGGGGTACAGGCCAGAGGCACAGAGGTGGTGAGAGGATTCCCCAGAGACAGAGCGGGGAGCAGAACAGGCAGAGTGACGAAGCACACTGCTGAGGGGAGCAGCGGGCGGGTCGGGGGAGGTCTGCCGCGCCTGGTGGGTCACCTCCGGGGCAGGCGGGAATCGAACTCATGCTGAGGTGGCTTTAGCCTCTTAGTCCTGTGCTGTGCTGTGCTGTAACCCGCCGTGCCCCAGAAGGGCCCGCAAGACAAAGTCATCACCACAGCACATCATCACAATGGCCCCTTTTGTGCTAAATTGAACTTTCTTCTCCCTGAATCAGCTGGGGGCAAGCAGGCATCACCATATCCCCATCTGAAGGGGCCGCATTGTCTTTGCAGGAATCTACACTCAGTGGGTTCCCCATGGGCAGGGGATGTCTCAAACGTGTCTCTTCCCCGAGACTGTGCTTCTCAGCTCCCTGGCCAGGAGAGTGAACTGAGGCGGGGTTGTGCTGTAAGGGTCTTGCTGACAGTGGGACGGGCCTTCTTGGACCATGGTTAAAGTGAAAAATGAGAAGTAAAGTGAAAAAAATTTTGAAGCAGGCTAAACTGGTTTGCAGAATCTTTCCTGGTTGAGCAGCGCCCTAGGTGTTGAGTGTAGAAGGCTTGGGAGTGTGAGCGTGAACATACGAGATCAGGTTGTGAGAGGATTTGGATGCAGGATCTCACACATTTGCTTTTTCAAGTGTGGAGCGACAAAGCCTCAAATGTGGGAGTCGTGCAGGAGAGTAGGGTCTCCAGGCAGCCTTCTGCCCGGGGTCTGGGTACCTGTCGCCGTGTTTGTTCGCAGTCAGCCTGTTTGCTGCCGGCCTTCGGCAAGCTCTTGAGACACCCTTTTGACTGGAAGGGAGGGACTCTGAAGGAGTCAAACTGCACATAGACGCAGGCATTTGTGGTTTGTACTCCTCAGAGCCGCCGCTCGTCTGCTAGGTAGACTGGTAGCCTGTCCGCCGTGTGGGGTGGGTGTGCGTGAGAGGGGCCGACTGTGTGGTGGGGCTCTGGTCGGCGAGCTTCCTCTCCCGGACCGGCCTCTCCTGTGCAGGGCCCCGGTGGCCGTAGGCCAGGAGCTGGGCGCTGGGGCTGAGTTGCTGCACTGCTGTTGCTAGCTCCCAGCTCAGGGTTTTGCTGCGGCTGTCATGCATGTGTCTAACGCACTCTAGCTGTGTGGATGGTGAAGCACCAATAATGAAGCGAGCAAGTAAGCGAGAGACTAAGGGCAAGTTCTTGGGCGATGCTTCGCCAGGGTCGGGAGTGAGTGAACCAGCTGACGCCTGGACGGCCGTGGGAAGGAAAGTCGGCTCCTGAGAATGCAGCCGCTCCTGAGACAGCTGGCACGCGTGGTGGCCGGCCAGCTGAGTCACGTGGTGGGAGGGGGCGCTCTCCTTTCTCCTCCGCGGCCCCTCCTCTGATGTCACCAGTCTGTTCTTTCCTGGGAGAATTAATTAGCATTCACTGGGTGCAGTCAGCAGGGAGAAAGCGGCAGAGGGAGCAGCGAGCGGAGAGCTGTAGGAGAGTGAGGAGGAGCAGGAGGGCGCTCGGTGGGGGAGTGCGGGCTGGTCCCCCCCCAGGAGGGGGCCGCATTGAGGCCGGCGGCACAGAAAGGCGGGTTCCTAACTGGGATCCTCAGTGACGCATGTCTGTTCCCTGGCAGCTGCCTTTATGGACCAGTAGGCAGAGGGAGACTGACGGAGGAGCCTTCGCATCTTGGAAAGGACTGTAATCTACTGTAGCGAAGAACAGAGCCTCTCAATCACAGGGGTGTAAATAAGAGCCGAGGGGAGCCTGAAAGAAAAGGAAGAGGAGGGGGGAAAGTGTGTGCTGGGGGGAGCGGGGCGCATTTTTGGTGGATGGTATGAAGCCAGCCATGGAGACTGCAGCCGAGGAAAATACTGAACAAAGCCAAGAGAGAAAAGGTACCCGGCGCGCTGACAGCAGTCTGTTTGAAGCTTTTCACTGGGGGTGCTTAGACAGGGTTGCCCGATCCCGGGTCCCGGGCTTGCTTTCAGGCTGGTTTTTTCCTGCGGGCTGGTGTTAATCAGTCTTTCGCAACCGCTCCGGTTCCAAATCTCTCTACTGAACCTGGTGTTTTGAGCAGCGTGCCTGCAGGTCCTCACCTTGGGTAGCTGGATTTGGGGACTGGCTTCTTAAAAAGGAATGTGATGAGTCGTGCCTAGGTCCTGTGTCCTGCATGCTGTGTTCCACTGACAGGGAGTGCGTTGTTTGCTCTGCTGCCAGGACACGAATGTTAAATATGCTTTTTCTGGAGCAACATGGGCGTTCTATGATTTTCTCATTGAAAACGGTTGCTGTTTCCGTGTGTCAGACATGTCATAACCATTTACAGTTGGAGCTTGAGAGAGAGGTCGTTGCTTCTGTTGTCTGCTGTGAGTTGGGGGCGGGGGTCCCATTATTTAAGACTTGGACATTTAGGAGAGAAAAATGGATAACGGTCTTGTTCCTCAAAGGGAGTCTTAGAACAAGTTAGATCTTGTATGATTTTGACATACAGAATGTGGTTTTTGAGAAATAAATGTTTCTGTGGTAAGGAAAAAATGGCAGAAGCTAGAAACTGAATGAATCTGTCTTTGCCTAGAGAATGGCTGATTTCAAGTTTGATGCCCCAAGAATCACCTCAGCCCCTGTTAGGTTAACAGCATCTCACTGCATCGAAATTTATCTCCTTCACTCAAAGTTATAGCCTGTCAAGAAGTCACTAGAACATGTCTGTAGCGACTCTGACATGAAAAGCCCTCCCGCCCAGATCAGCTCTCTGGCACTGGCAATGCTGGCGGTCACAAAGGGGTAGCCATCCCCTTTGAGAGGGCCAGCGCCACTGTGCTCGTGAACATGCAGGCCGAACTGTCTGAAACTGCTGATTGTCAACCATTTTCCACCTACAAAATGTCATGTATTTCAACTTACCAGGCTTGTGCAGAGGCTGCTTGTTTTTCCATGGAATCGCTCCCATTTGCGATACTGAAGTAGGATTGTATCCTAAACTGAGCGGTTCCCTTTTGCAGTTCAGTTTTTAAAGCATGATAAAAGCGAGGCTGTGATTCAGTGACATCAAGTGCATACATGCACTTTCACTTTATCAGTTCTATTCCAGCATCCAGCCCACCTCCCCCAACAACAACAAAAAGCCAATCAGTAAATGTTGCCTTTTCTTGTAGGAAAATTATTGAATGTCCAGGAATGACCAAGCGGCAGCAAGAGAGGCTCTCGGGGTGTTCGTGAGACAGAGGAACAGAGGGAAAAGTTTCAGGACTCATTTCCACGAGGGTTAGAGATGCAGCTTAGGGGACAAAGCCATGTAATAGTATTACTATGAGGAAACCTGTCGCGGTTTATAACAATCCCCCCCAAGTCGATGCCTTTATTTAGTCCGCACTTCATTGACCCCGTGTTTGCCAGTGACAGAAAAAGCTTTTTGGTCCCTGTGGAAACGTCTTCCGTTTTTCTCTCCAAAAGCAGCAGGGGCGTCATCTCGCTCCCCCACTGCGGGCTCGTCAGCAGCCAGCCTGGCGCTGCGCTGCTGTGCTTCATGTCACGGAGAGGCCCCGCACCACCCCCGGCCCTGCCTCCACGGACGCCTGGATGCGAGCCCTTGTTAGCTGTGGCTTTAGCCCCCAAATTAGAAGGAAACGAGCGGACGGACACTTGCTGTGGCTTGAGGAAGTCAGAGTTAGACCAAGGGGCCAGATTCTGCCACGGGGACAGCGGGCGCTGCAGGGAGAGCCCAGGCCAGGGCTTGGGTTTTCACTGCAGTACTAGACCCGCAGCCCTCCCCAGTGCTGTCTCGGAGGCCTGCCTCTGTGCTCACCTTCATGCGGCGAGCAAGTTCCTAGGCAGCCGCTCTGAGTCAGAACACACCCAGGTCTCACCTTTGCAGCCCCCTCCCCGTTCGCTCGCCCATCATCATTCCGGGCGCAGACACGGCTCAAGCACATCACGGACGGCGGCTGCCTGTCCCTCCAGCCTGCCTCGGATTTCATTTTAAATTGATACTCTGCATGTTTGCTTCATTGGAACGAATGTTTAAAAACTGCACAGAATCAGAGAATGTGTTATGTAATTCTTGGCCTGGAGGATCAGTTTTTCTTCTTTTTTGTTTTCCTCCTTTTAAGCCTTTCAGCAAAGGATTTAATTTACTAAATTTAATCCTATGCATGTCGTCACTTCCCACAGAGTGTCTTACGGCAGCGAGCTATTTTTTCCCTTCGGTTCCTCCTTCCCTGTTGGTTTTCAGTCACTAATGTAGGGGCAATATTTCTCTTAAGTTGGGGTGTTCCTGCCCAGTGGCTTGTAAATGAACGCCTTTGGCTAATTATTAGTGTCTATTAAGAATGGAAGTTACGTATAGCATGGCCATTGACTTGACACTTCGAGTCGGTGTCCCTCCCTGGGAGTTTTGCCAGGACAAAGCAAGACGCTTCTTGAAATTAAATCCAAAGGACTTTATTCTGTTTTCAACAAAAGTAACCCAAGTCCTTAACAAAAAGAAAGCCATATGATTTTCAGACAGCCCCATAGCTTTGATGGAACCCCTCGCCCCGGATGACCAGATTCACAAGTATTTAGAAGCTAGTAGGACATTTTTCATGAGAGCCAGCAGGTTTTCTCAGACGGATGTAAGAAATGCCAACTGGCCAAATTATTACAAATGACAGTTTTTAAATTGGAAGCATTAAATTAAATCAAAGTGTGAGGATTGAGTAAACAGATACACTGGACTAGAATAAGTGGAGGAAATGAATAAGACAGAACCAAGGCAATAGATCACGGGACTCAGTAATAAGGAAATGCGAGCTTGCCTTCTATTTATTTCAGTGGCGTATTACTCGATGTCAATTCATTTGTGCAAACCAGTGCATCTGGAATTGCTTGGGAGTTCGTAATCACAGGGTAGGAAAACAATCCAATCAATTGCTCTATTGTGCGAAAAAGAATCTACGTATCTGTGATGAAAGTTATTTTTATTACATGTGGGAAATTGGAATCTACTGAAACAATTATGGTCCGACTAGTTAAGCTCCTATGAATCATTACAGGCATAAATTGCAGAATTCCAAGCATCACATTGAGTTCTAACCACACAGGGAAACGATGTGGTGAATTGGAAATGATGTATAATTTAGAATAAATTACAGGGCATAATCAAAATACGAAATGAGTTCAGACTGTTGACTTTTTTTTTGGAAAAATGTACACATCCACTGAAATCCTTTTTGCCACAAGATAATTTCTGATGTGGTTTTTAAAAAATGTGTCGGTAGTGCACTCTTTTCTGTTGAAGCAAAGCCGTCCTCTGTCTGTAGGGCCTGTGTGCTAATTGCCCAGTGGGGTAGCCTGTGACACTGCTCCCGGTGGGCTGCGAATGTCTTGAGTCAGAGATTTGTTTTAATGTTTTCTCACTTGATTATGTGAATATGGCCCAGAAAAAGTTCCAGATGCAGTTTTTCTCTGTAAGAACCTGCCAAGGAGAGCATTGGAAGAGGGGGTGTCTAGGGAATAGGCGGTAGAGCAAAGCGTGACCGGCCAGATGGTGCTGGACATATTGTGGTAGGTATAACGCAGCTTTCTTTCCTTGTTTTTTTTTTTCTTTAAAGAAAATGTAAATGTGGAGAAGATCTCAAGGCATTTGCTGTCCCTCCTTAGGCACTGTTTCCACTAGCATATTTTTTCAAGACTTGGCTGTTTCTTTAAAGAAAGCAAGCTGAGCCACTTCTGGGAATTGGGTCTGCCTCCCTCGAGATGGACTGGAGACCTTGTGTTCAGAGTCTAATTCTCAAAGGTGGGTCTCGCTGCTCATTGAAAGTACAGGTCAGTGTAGAGGAAATAATCATACTAAAGTGATTTCTTAGCCTTGACTCAGCTAAGGACACGAGATGGCCATGTCCCCGAGACACCAGTGTCCCCTCACCAGAACTGGTGGTGAATTGTTCCAAGGACACTTGCTTTTCTCCTCTGCGACCATGTCATGTGACGGGCCAGGCGTAGGGGTGGCTGTGGCTAGGGTAGAAGGAGAAGTTAGGGATACACACAGACCTCTGAGAGTCAGAGGCCACTGCCCCAGCTTCACAGAGGTGCCTGGTGTTCATGCATCTGTCCATGTACTCATCTAACTATGTTCTGCCTCATGATGTCACCCTTCCTCTGTCTTCTCAGTTCATGTGTTGGTAGTAGAAGTGGGGCTAACTCCTCTTAGGTCCCATGTGTGAGTCCAGTCTTGGTTTTCACCTTAATATGGCTGATGGGTGGTGACAGATTAAATAGCAGGCAATGCCAGAGAGGAGAATTTTGATCCTTATTCTGTCCCATGATATTTCTCTTCAGAGAGCATGTAATAAGGGAGAATCCATCTGTTCCTGTTTTATCATTAATTTCATTAACTTTTATGAGTACGTGATATCAAGGCTCAACACTCTTCAGTGCTAAAGGACTCAGAGTAAATATTTTAGGCTTTGAGGGCCACTCGGTCTCTGTTGTGACCACTCAGCTCTACCATTGTAGCCTGAAACAGATAATGGAGAAACCAGTAGGTGAGGTTGCATGCCAATAAAGCTTTATTTATAAAAGCAAGGGAAGCTTTTTGCTTTCATAGCAAATAGTGTCATAGCTTTCCTTGATATTTAAATAGCAGCTCAAACTGATGATAAATGTGGTTTAAATGTGGTTTCTAAAGACCTTGCCCAGCGGATATGGCCTTTCTAGGAAGCTTAAAGTCTGTCATTTAGTTGCTTCCAGTGATAAATTTCCTAGATGCTACAAAGCGGGCCCATGTGCAGTTATTTCAGTCACATAAAATACTGTGGTGGCGGGGGGTAGTGTATAAGGCATCCATTTCCCATTGTTTGTTTCATACCCACCACCAGCGATGACCACCCACAGTTGTGTCTCGCTCCATCAGCCACCGCCACTCATCTCGGCCCCAACCACAAGCAGTACCTCAGATATCACTGTCTCTCGTGCTTCTTCAAGAAGCTGGATCGCTCTGCGCCCATCTCTGTCTCTACTCGCTAAGCATGAGAGGGTGAACATGGCCAGCCTTCCCTCTGAGAGAAAAAACCAGGCTCTCCTGGCTCTATAGTTTGCCCATTTCTTGTCAGGCCCGGAAGCAACAGTGTAGTAGATCTTTCAAGCCGAGGCTATCAGGCACTGCCGTCTAAGTGTCGGGACCCTGTCCTTGGGCTCCATGTGACTGCTCTGCTTTGTGTGATTTTATAAATAGCAGCCTCCCCGGAAGTACTGAGAAGCAGCTGCCCACTTCTGGCCCCATCTCTGCTGCTGTGGAGGAGCCCTGTTTTACCCAGAACTAAGCTGCCCTGGCGCGGCTGCCATGTTCTGTTTTGTTTTTGAAGACACGTGAGTGCTAGCTAACCCAGGCTTCTGCTTAGTGCCTGTGCCTGATTGGCCACAGGTCCGGACGCTTCCCAACCCGTGGGAGAGGAGCAGAGAATGTGTGTGCCCTGTGCAGAGACGCCTTGCCTCGCGGGCCTGGCTTGGGTGAGGTCAGTGTGCTGGGCCCAAAGGCAGCTGGGCCAGCAACTGACTTTCCCATCGCCCTTGGTTTCTCCATTTGTAAAGATTGAAGAATGATAGTAGCTGCCTCACAGGGCGGTGGTGACACACGAGGGAGCGGGTGGGCTACACCTCTCCCAGTGGCCACTGGGACCCCCACAGTACCCACGGCCTCCAGCCATCACCTTCGTCCTTGAGAGCAAACAGCAGCAGCAAAAAAAGATTTCATTGTGCGGTGCTGAGCGTAGTGCTTTTTCCCACTTTTCATTGAAGCAATTTTTACCTTGAAGCCAAAAGGAAAAAGGTATTTTTCTAAACACCGCCTGGAAAAGTTAGGTCTCCACTTCCTGATCAGAAGTAGCTTGAGAGTTTTCAGCGAGCGTGGAGAGTGAGGTGGGGATTTCAGGAAGGCTGCGAGGTGGCGAGTGGGGCTGTTCAGGGCGTTCGCTTTCTTCCGCTCATGATGTGATGCTCTCTTTAGAGGCCTGCCATGCCAAACGGAGCAGTAGAATCCGGGCTTCTGATGGAATCATACAGCAGCGTCAGAATCATTTTTTTTTTTTATCCTTAAATATTTGTGGCACCTCAGAGAACATACACCCCTGTGCTAGAGGCTTCTCAGGAGAGCTGGCCGCTTTGATGTTGTCTCTCTGAGTTGTCAAGATTGTGACTCAACTCATAGCCACAGCCTACAGCGTGTCAGGAGAGCGAGTGCCCATTTTCCCTTCCAGTCCCCTATGTAGGAAAAACTGTCGTTACTGTGAGGGGAGGTTGTCCCTCGCATGTGACAAATTAGTTCCAGCCCAAGGCCAGCAGCCCTTTCTCTGTAAAACACCGGGAGATCATTGGAGCAGGGTTGAATCCAGAGCGCTGTGGATGCCGAGGTACTGAATTCCAGAGGAGGGGACAGAGAGGGCCCCAGGTGTCCGGGGGCAGACCAGGGCTCCTCAAGGCTGGAACTGGGTATGTTTCGGAGTGAGAGTCTTCGCTGGTGCGCAGTCACGGGCACAGTGCTGGTGCTCTGTAGTCCGCAGGCCGCGCAGACGCAGACATACTGTCATGTGAAGCCAGACTCCCGTGTTTTGTGGTAACTAGCATGTGCTCCAAATGAGGGGGGAAGGTGGGGAAATAAGACAAAGACAACATGACGAGGGCTGCAAACCGGAGCCCAGAGCTGAGGAGGAGACAACGCGCTCTCATTGTATCGTGCTGAGCTGATCCTGAAAGGTTGTGTTTCATAGTCTGTGTGTTACATTCCCCCTTTCCTTTACATGGTAAAAGAACAAATAAAAATGCTGATAAGAATCTTTGCTGGAGATAGAGACACTGACTCTTTGCCACCTGAAATTGGCAGCGAACAGCAGAGCTGAAATGGAAATTGGCAGGTACCACTGGATGTACCCAGGCTCAAAGAACCACCAGTACCATCCCGTGCCAACACTGGGGGACAGGGCTAGCCCCTTGAGCAGTCCAGGTAAATACAGCCTCGGGGTGAATTTAACAGCAAGTCAACTGTTATCTTTCATGTGTAATGCCTCTTGCGGTGTGGTGTTATCTGATGTTTTGCTTGATGCACTCATTTGTTCACAAGGGAGCGGGTGGAACTGGATCTTTAGTTATCTTTCTTTTTCTCTCCTCTCCATTCCACCCCACCTTTCGCCTCTTTCCTTCCTCCTCCCCGCCCCTCTTCTCCAAGGAAGCCTGTCCAATGATACACGCTTTGGGGTTAACTGCAAAACTTCCAAGTCTGGGCCAGTAGTGGGGTGGGGCGTCACACCTGTCAACCATGGGCCCAAGAACAGGGCTCAGGCGCCCCTTGGCGCCCCCTGTGTCCGCCCTGTCTCGCGGCTTTGTGCCGCTCTGGACATCAGCCTTTGCGTTTTCCAAGGAAGAAGTCAAAGCCCCCGAAACGAGGCTCGGCTGGCCGGTACTTGGGCCCGTCAGGTAGGTCCAGGGCCCTGGCTCCCAGTTTCCCTGCTCCAGGAGCCCAGGGTTCTCGGACTGCGCTGTCTGGGTGCGGAGCGCGCCAGCCCCTGTGGGGGCCGGAAGAGGGGCGTGCGAGCGGTAAGCACAGCCACCCTCCAGCCTCGCAGCTAATCCTCGGTTCAGTCGGATTTTCAGCAGCTCCGAATGTGGCTCTCACGGGGCTGTGGCGGGGCCCATCAGCATGACTGGGCTTCCAGGACTGGGGTGCTTGGGCCTGAGCTGCGTGTTGCTCCCTGAGAGCTACCTGCTTTCTCCAGACTAAATCAGAAGTGACAGTGTGAAACCTGGGCGCTAACCCTGAGGCAGCAGTCCCGGGGTCAGTGTGAGCGACCATTGGACTACAAAGTCCTAGAGTCTGTAAGCTCATAACATTCTTCCTCTTGAAACGGAGAGTGTGGCGTGGCCGCGGTGAGCACGCCCCTCCCTCTGGGGTCAGTCAGGCCTGTACTGGGCAGCGAGGCACAGGTCCTTGCGTCGGCTGCCTTGGTCAGAAAAGGTGAGCAAGAAGTGACGTCGGACACTGGTCCTCATAGATCAGTTAGAGAAGGTTCGATACATGCTCTACCCGTGCCAGGGAATGCTCCTGCTCAACAGTAAACAGGAATGAAGCTCCGGCAGATGTTGGGCACAGATGTGCCTCGAAGCCGTGATGCTGACTGACAGGAAGGCACAGGGGCCAACAGGTGGGAGCCCATTTCTGTGGGAAGTCCAGAGCTGGCACCTGCGCAGAGACAGAAAGGGGACTCGAGGCTTCCGAAAGGGGAGTGGGGGAGAAGCGGGGGTGTAACTGCTAACTCGGACAGAGGGTGTCTTCGGTGCTGCTGGTCACACACCTGCAAACTGACCCCACACCATCAGCGTGTCCCCTGAAAGCAGGTGAATTCCGTGCTGTGTAAATTATATCTCAAGAAAGTAAGTGGTCGTTAACGCTCCCCACACTCCTCGCACCATTAGACGTGCACAGTTCAGTGGTGAAGAGGGAGAAGCAGAGGAAGAGAGACGGGCACTAGAAACTCGCTACCTCTTGAGCAGTCGTTAACAGCCCTGGATTAAGATTTCTGTGCTTGCGGCCTGTCAGCCAAACACGAGACTCGGGACCTTCTAAACAACAGCTTCCGCCCAGATCTCGGGGCCGGCGCTGCTCCCCAACTGAAGCATTTGGGCTCGCACGGTGACGTGGCGCTCTGGCCGCGCGCTCCACTACGCCCCCTCCCGCGGTCTGGTCACGCGCGCAGTGCAGGGGCCGTGCTGGGAGCTGGGCCAGGCCACGCGGTCTCTTCTCTACCCTCGGGTGGGGCACAGCACCAAGCATGTTCCCATCGAGACAGGCGCTAGCGAGCGCCTCAGTGTTCAGTGTGGGTGCTCCGGTGGGATGAGGAGCTGCAGGATGCGCGCAAGGCCTGCGGCTTGCGATGTGGCGAGAACTCCGTGACGGAGCCGCTGCTTGGCTGCAGGAGAGGAGCAAAACCAGGAATCACTGAGACTTCGGGTCCCGCCAACGCCGCCGCCCGCGCTTCCGCCGCAGTGTGCGCGTCCTTGGGACAGATGCCTCGCGGCACAGACTCCAGGCGTCAGGGTCTGCGGCACCCTGGGAGCTTGCTAGGAAAGTGCCAGAACACAGTGTGGGCCCTGGTGGGGTACTGCGCCGCCACGTGACTGCCTTCCCGTTGCTGGGAGACTTTGTTAGCTCCTAAGTCCATGCGGTTGCCATTCTCCACTTAGCTCCCCGAGCAGATGGCGTGAGGGGAAAAATAGAGAATTCCATATGGCTCTTGTGCCTTTTTTTTTCTTGCATAATTTTCCATTTCCTTGGGGGGTATGAGCGGTGGGGGCAGGGGTCAATCGAGGCCCATCAGTTGATCTTTCCCATGGAAGACAGTGCCCCACCTGGAGACCCCCTCTTCCTCCCTCCCCTCTGGAAAAGTCAAGGTGGGTCCGCCTCCACTTTGGGGTTCCATGCCTTCCCTTCTGCGTGCTGCTTCCCGCTTGAACCCTGGTCAGTTCACTGGCCAGTTCATTGTTCGCTTACGGATTGTGTTTTTTCTTTTCTCCTTTTTTCACTTTGGAACTTACCTGGCTCGCCAGGTCACAAACCCTTCTCAGGGCTCAGTGGCCACCAGGGCAAGCCTGTGCCATGCTGCTGGAGGGGAGCAAAGATCTGCACCCCAGAGAATCTCCTGCATAAGGTTCATCTCGGAGGGGCCTGTCAGAGCATTTGCATGTGTCAAGGGCCGTTGCATTGGGAGAGCGGGCTCCCTCCCTGTTCTGGGCAGTCTCACCCCCAGTCTCTGAGCCTCTTCTCCCTGGGGAAGCTGCAGTTCAAAGCTGCACGTCCTTGTTTACTGGGCCTTTCCAGGGGCCCTGCCCAACAGCCCTGATGTCCTGAAACCCTTTTGGAGAGTTACTAGTTTTACGGGATCTCTCCAAGTTGGACTGGGGCTACACGGGTCAGCATTAAACTTCTTTTCGCTTTCTTTTTCTCTTGTCCATCTGTCTGATACTAACTCGAGTATCTGCCAGCCTGGAAGAGCCGCGAGGGGAAGCAGACCCCACACTGCCTGGGCTGAGGCGTGGCCTGAGCCTCCCACGCAGTGAATGTTTGGGCAGGCCAGGCCTGCATTTACCGGGCAGTTGTACTCACTCCAAGTCGAGGCGATTTCAGGCGACAGCAGGCTGTGCCGTTCAGGCGTCTGCACTGCGACCCCCTTCCTAGTGTGGTCCCTGGACCGGCGGAGTTTGTGTGGCCGGAAGCTGATGACAAGCGCAGCATCTCAGCCCCGCCCAGACCTGCTGTCTCAGCCTGCATTTTAACCGGATTTCCAGATGGTCCTGAAGCACGGTAAATCTTGAAATGCTAATTCAGAGGAACGTTCAAGGGTAAGAAGGGAAACGCCAGGAAGGTACTGATCGAGGGGTTTACTCGCAAGGAGTCGTTAGACCTTTGGAAGAGACTGGATTGTTTCCCGCTGAGCCGCGTCAGCACCACTGCTCTTCCCGCCATCTGCAGAGGCGCCTTGGACCTTCCCGCGCGAGCAGGGAGCAGCTGCCCCGTTCTGTGTTTACCGCGCTGGCACAGGGAGAGGACAGGGGCAGCAGGCAGTTTCCTTGGGTCTGAGAGGCCCGGGTAAGGTCTCGGAGAGCTTGGGAGAAATCCTCGCGTGTCCCCCCATCAGCTCCTTTAATCAAGTGGCGTGCAGATGTCAGTTAAGAGACTCCAAGCTCGAGGATTCGGTGTGACCCGCCGCTGAGTCTGGAGCTGTGCCTTCAGGCTGCAGGTGGGGGGAGAATCAGCAGCCGGTGTCCTCTCCCCAGCCCCCAGGCCCCAGTGCTCTGGTGCTCGGGCTAAGGCAGCCAGAGGTACTTCCGGAGGGAGCCTGGAGAACATGCAGGAATGCTGGCGTCTAGTTGAGAGTTCAGCAGGAAGCCACGTGTTGGAATTTCCATGGTACAGAATGGATTCCCGAGGGAGCGGCCAGCTGTGGTATCGCAGGAGTCACGGCTGTGACTTGCCTGGTTCCGTGTGTCTGCTCAGGTGTGACCTGAGAAGCCACCGCAGAGAGTTCCAGCCTTGCTCCTCCCCGCCCCACGGGCCCACCCTGCCTCTTCCCGCTCCGTTTTGTCAAGTGACAGCTGGAAATGGCTCTAGGGTTTTCGTCACATTTCTCTTGGGTTTTTGTACAACCCTGCCTCACGTGCTAAGGCCCCGGCTTTCGTGGCCTTTCCTGGAAACCCTGAAACTATTTCAGAGGGGATGAAACTTAAGCCTGTGTTAGGCCCCCTTGCGCGCCCGCTGTGCCTGGGTGTCCACTGCACCTGTGTCTCAGGGCGACGTGTGGGTGCCCTGAGGGGCCGCCCTGTCCCGCCACGGTGGGGAGAAAAGCTTTCTGCCCACACGACTTTGGCCAGGAGAAGTCTGATGGCTGCCAGGAACAGCAGGTTTTCGGGCTACAGGAGGGAGCGTGGCCACGCCACAAGCGTGTCGCCACTGGGTAACCCAGGACCTCGTTTTTGGATCATCCGCAGTTCTGCCGAACAGCTGCCCTGGGAAGCAGCTAGCTCCTCACTTTCTCTCTGGAGCTGAGTGTGCGTGTATTTCCTCAGTGCTTAGGAGCGTTCCGTGTTCGCTCTTTCGCCCTCGCTTACGTAGCGGGGGGCCTGCGGTGGGTCAGCCTCTCTGCCTTAGCTTTTGTGTCCAATGCCTGGAGCAGCAGAAACAAGGAATGCAGACATGGGAAGGCTCCCCGTCAGTGTCGAGCGCCGTTCCGGGACTTTCCCGAGCACAGCACCTGGTTTGAGGGACGCCCACCTAGATCGCTCAACGGTATGATTCCTGGGCTTTTGGAAATAGTGACGTCACACCTGAACCACCCTCATAACACCCTCTGCTGTTTTCAGCTAGAGTTCATTAAGGTCAGTGTGGCTTTGAGATCTTTTGCCACCCTCAGAGCTAACTGGAGCAGCTCTGAAGCAGGTGGAAGCGGCCGAAGT